CTAGGTGACTGAAGTTTCTGCTGTGCAAATATCTAACTGGAGAGCCTGATGGATGACTCTGGGCTATGGAGGTGTCCCATTGGAGAATATGAATTAGGATACAGCCAGGGGGTGGGGGGAAAACCAGGGTCAAGGGTGACAATGTGTCTAGAGTCGGCTACACCCAGGCAGTGCCAGACATGTTAACTCCCAATAAACCCCTTTGAAGTTTTGGAAGTTTGGCTCGAGACTCAGGATTTAATTGGGGCAACTGCCGGAATCCTGACATTGAGGTCTGAATTTCAATCATGTGACCACAGGGAAGTTGTGCGAAAAGGGTCATCCCTTTTTCAATGCCCCTGCAACTGTGGCCATTACGTCAAAGACCCCCTCTGCTTATTTTTTAGTGGGGGACCGTGACTGTTAATAACATGACGGAGAAATTCTTCCTACCCATCTTAGCCACGCAGGTAAGTAACCTGTCAAAGCTAGGGACCCCTACTGATCCCCAAGCCCAGCGGGGGCTCCCCAAAAGACACCACCACCAGTCTCATCTTTTTGTTGAAAAAAACAACACTTTTTTTTTAATGGGCCAGTTCTTCTTCGACAAGTCAATATAGCGAAGTGACCGGCTCAGGCCTTCACGGCGTATTTGCGAGGAGGATAAAGTCGCTCTTTCCGTTGCTGCTTTTTGGTTTTCAAGCCTTCTTCGTGCTTATTGAGCCGCCTCCGCATGGCTCGTGTCTTCTTCGGACGCAGGTCCAACGGTTTGTACTTCTTGCCCTGTGGCCAAGGAGGAAAAAAAAAGAGAAGTTCAACACAGCCTGTTAAATGCTGGATGCTCAGAATACAGTGTGTGGGGCTGAGTATGGCAACGTCTGGGAGGAACTTCCCAGAGGTTATCAATGGCTACCCTTGATATTGTATGCCACCTTTTGTAGAAGAGCAGGCAGAGCTAGGAGGGGGGAATTAAGGGCGCCATCCATTTAGAATCGTTGTGTTTCCACAAGAGCACCACCCCTTCTAAATTCCACTGACCCTTATCTGAGTGCCAATTTAGGTTACCTGATCAGATTCTTGACCAATCAATCATCTACGCTGCAACATTACACCAATATTGCACCTGACACCTCTAAGATCAGAAGAAATTGGCTTCCGATTGTCAATTTTGAGCGTGATGCAAATGAAACAACGGAGCACCCTGAGAGCGTAATGTACCTGGTGGATAGAGGCCTGACCAAACTGGCTTGCCAAAAGCTACCCAGCAGGAAACCTGCTTTTGCAAGAGCGGATTCACACTGCATCCACGGAATGGTAAGCAGTGCTGGGTGATAGCCTTGCAAGCCACTAGAGTCGGCCCTCAGGTGTCTAAAATATTTTAAAGGTTTGTCCTGCCCAATCGTTTCCAACTCTAGGGAGGGGTGCTCATCTCATTTCATCGCCGAGGGAGCCATCATTTTCCATGGTCATGTAGCTGGCATGAAGATACACCGAGGCGCATGGAATGCAGTCGCATTCCCACCAAAGTGGCACCTTATTTATCTCCTCGCATTTGCATGCTTTCGAACTGCTGAGTGGGCAGGAGCTGGAGCAAAGAACGGGAACTCACTCCCATCACGCAACACTCAGGTCTCGAACCCGAGCTGTCAAGATTTCCAGCTGACCAGCTGTGTGTCTTTAACCACTGAGCCATTAAACCTCCCCCTCTCCGTGGCTAAACCAGCCTCGTATTTATATCACAGTCCGCAAAGTAACCCCAACTGGTCATTCTCGGGGCACAAGGCTTCCCACCCAAAGGAATCTCAACAAAAAGAGGAAGGAATTAATGCTTCTGACTCACTTTGTAGAATTTTCTGAGGTTTTCTTTCTGGGTCTGGTTAATGACGGTCAGCACTCTGGCAATGGATTTGCGAACCACCCGGCTGGAAATTTAAAAAAAAAGAATATATATGAATAAATCACAGGAGGGAATTCAGGATCAGATCAGAGAAGCAACAAACAATCCTGGTTTATTCCATCACAGTTTGGGGGGTCTTCATTTTCAACCCCAATAGAGAGTCCGGAGAAGCACAGGGGGAAAAAACTCACATTTTGGAGAGTTTGGAAGCTGCTCCACCAGTCACCTTGGCAACGCGGAGCTGAGACAATTCCACCTTGAGGTCATCTAGCTGTTTCAACAGCTCTTCCTTCTTCTTCCCTCGCAAGTCACGGGCTTTGATCTTGGCCTAGGAGCAGAAGGACATCTAGCATCACAGAGCAAAAGGTGGACAGCTTTATAAACACTGTTTTTGCAATAAACAAAAAAAAAAGCAACTTCCCACACTAGGAATAATTTTTAAAAAGGGAGAAACAAGTGCGTTATCTGACCAACTTTGGTTATTATGTGGGATTCAAGTCACTTTATTTAAGCAATTTAAAGTTACAAAAAGGAGCATGTTATTTTGGTGCACAACACACAGTAACAAATATGGAAAACCCCAAATTTATTCCCAGTATTGCAAACATCAAACGAATGGAGATTGTGATGGATCAGGCCACAGGTACATCTGGACCAACATGGGCCGCTGTTTGCACACCCATGTTTGCACGCCCGCATTCCATCCTGGTGCCATCAAGCACCAACCACGTCGGTTGTCCCCATTTCTCCACTTGTGAAAAGCCACACTGGGACAAACACCTTTTAAAATTGGCATTCCTAGAAAGCCCCAAACACCCTCCCCCCACTTCTTTTTGGGAGGGGGGCAGCCGGTTCTCACGTGATGCTCCAGACCCCCCCCCAAAAAAGTGCAAACTGTGCCTCCAGTGGTTTTATGGCCAGAATCTCCCATAGCAACTTGGAGACCTTATGGACTTCAGCTCCCAGAATTCCCCAAACCTTGCCTGGTTAAGGTATACTCTACGGAAACACCATGTTGCCTAAAAGGTTGGGTCCTGCCCATAAAGCATTTGCTCTTCCTGGGACCCGCTTCTAATCCAAGGCAACGAAGGGGACTACAAAGCCCACCTGAGCGAAGGGCTCACAACCCGGAAGCATTTCTTTCTCTTCCCACTTTGTGTCCCCCCCCCCCGCCCCCCATCCCGTCCTTGCAAAGCCCTCGCTTCTTCTATGCCCCAGCGCGGCCTATTCAACTCTCCGCCCCATAGCTGCCCTCCCGCCGCCCTCCCATTCCTCATATGGGGCGGCCCAGCTCAAGCAGCCTTTCCCCCCGCCAACCCCACGTAAACCCCGGCCCCAAACCCCCCTTCTCGGAACCGATGGAACCGGATTCGGACCGATCCCCTCGCCCCGGCAATTTCTTACCATGACTGCAAACTGGGACCTGCTACCGCCGACGAGAAAGGAAAGGACGGAAGCCGGGAAGGGACAGGAAGCCCGCGGTGCGGATCAAACCATGAAAGCAAAGCTAAGGGGGGGGGAGAAGAGTTGAGTTCTTCTCTCTCCTCCCCCTTGTTGGAATGGTTTAGTCCTTGGGAGAGTGAAGTTTTCAATCCGCGTTTGGCAACGGATCGTTAGGCGCTTTGATCAATTCCGGGATCGAATTAGGGAGCAATTATAATGATCAGCCGGCTAATTAAAAAATTTTTTTAAAGGAGGGGATAGGAGCCTCTCTTAATAACGCATAGATGATGCATTGATGATTTATTGCAAACCATGCCATTTTTGCCCAAGTAAAATTAGCGTGCAAAACAATCACAACTCGCGCGTTTGTTGTCAGTGCGTTTGTTAGGATGTAATGAGTTTCCTAAGCCTGCCTGCTTGCTACTTGAGCCTGTTGTACTGCATTGTTTGGTAGATGCGGATGTTACCCGTTTGCCCACAGCTCCGTCTGTTTTTGTATATTGTTTGTGTGTATGTGTGTGTGTGTGTTTGTGCATGGTCAGTTCAATTCAGAGGATTGAGTTTGTTTTTAATATAAATAACGTTTGCAGGTTAGGTTTGTACAACTTTGTCTATGTACAGGTATATATATATATATACATACAGAATTTGAGTTTGCTGTGAGGTGTGCATTTGTATTTTATGGCTATATATAGTGATAGGTAGGTAGGTAAATAGAAAGTAGATAGAGATATAAGTAGGTAGGTAGGTAGAGATATAGGTAGGTAGGTAGGTTAGAGATATAGGTAGGTAGGTATATATGCATGTATGTGTGTGTGTGGATAGATATAGGTAGATAGGTAGAGAAATGATAGGTAGATAGATATATGTATATATGTATGTGTGGGTTTGTGTGTAGGTAGGTAGATATATAGATAGGTAATAGATACCGGTAGATAAAGCAGGCAGGCAGGCAGATAAAAGTAGACAGACAGACAGACAGACAGAAATATAGATAGGTAGGTAAGAGAGATGATATGATAGGTAGGTATATATGTGTGTGTGTTTGTGCGTAGGTATGTAGATAGACAGACAAACAGATATATACACACCACCCACAAACACGGGATTGCACATCTTTGCACTCCACAGAAAATGGCTCTCCTGAGGGTGAGGTGTGCATTCGTGCTGTGATGGGAATGCACAAGGTAGGTATGCGTGTGTTGTACGAGCGTGTGTGTGCACGCGCACCTATGCACGCGCGCGACAGGAGGAGGAGGGGGGTAAGGCTTTCTGCTGTCACTTAGAGAGCGCTTGGACCCCCGAAAGGCCGGGCGAGCATCCAGCGTGTGTCCGCCACGCGCGCCCCGCTTTCGGTGCCTGCCAGCCGGCAGGTAAAGCAGGAAGCGCCTCCCGCGGGGGCAACGCCGCGCTCTGACCGGCAGGGGTCGCTCGGGCTCTCTTTTCCCCCCCTCCCCTCTCTGCCCCCCCCCCTCTCCCGACGGCCGCCCGGGACTTGCTGAGGGCGAGAGCCAGGAGCCGCGCGAGTGGCAGCCTCCTCGGCCAATCGGGGATCGCCGCTGAGGGCGTGCGGCCAATGGCGGGCCCTCCTGGGCGAGGAGGCGGAGCGGGCGAGGCCGTGCCCAGGTTAGGCTGAGGGGGAGGCGCCGCTCCATCCTTCCCTCACCTGGGGCGAGCCAGCGAGCCAACGCCGAGTCCCCCTCAGCTCCGGCTGGGCAGCGCCGATGCCGAGAGGGCCGGCCCGCCCGCCCGCGCTTGCCCTCAACCGGCCCGGCCTCTCGGTAAGGGCTGCTGCCAGCCTAAGATGGGGGCAGGGGGGAGGGTCGCGGGGGGGGGGGGGGGG